TACTATTAGTCAAATATGATATTTGCCCATATATTTGTCTATATGTTTGCCTACATGACAAATCCATTTTTTCGTCGAGTGTAATATTCGTGACAGTCATTGCGGATGAGAGATGCACTCTCCAAGACATGTTTCAATTTAGTTTACGGCATTTCGAAGGAAATGAAGGCCAACAGTTATAATTTTTACTCAAAATCTTTTTTTTCTTCCTTTTTTTGATTTAAATTTCCCGTGCCTTTATGTTATGATAATAGGTTACAGGACAAAGTAACTAGTTGCATATTTTTTCCAACTTTCAGCTTAAAAATTCTTATTAAGTTTTCAAAGATAATGACGTCATCAGATGACGTCATGGTTCGTCAATATCGAATCTTTATTCCTGTCTGCAGTGAGGAATGAGGTCAAAACGATGAGCCTATGACTGGAGCAGGTAAACACCACCTCTGTATCATGGATTTTGTGCTCAAAAATTATCTAAATCAATAGTGATGTCACTTGGACCATATTTTTGACCTCGTCCTCGAATTTAGGTTTTAATTGTTATCATTTTTTGGACAGCCGACACTGGCACGCAAAATCAATAACTTGTAATAATCCGGTGTTTTTATCTTATTTTCAGCTTTCAAATGTGTTAGTTTTCGAGCGATGTTTTAAGTGAGTAGTAGAGGCAGAATTACATATGAATAGGAAAACCCATTTAAGTGTTACCATTGAATGGCTTCCGTGTGAGTGAATGAGCCAATGACAATGATACTAAGTTAGCATCTCAATTAATCATATTTCCTGAATATGACAGAATTGTTATATGCTATGTATCAGTATTTTGATAATGAGATGAAATCTGTACATATGAAGCTACGGACACACCGTGGACAATATCGCGCGCAACATTGCAGGTAATGATGGTAGGATCGTTTTCTACTTCAACAACATTGCGTGCAACATATTGAATCGTGTGTCATGGCTCGCGACATCGATTGCCTGCAACAGTGTGCGCGGATGTTGCACCGTACGTCCGTGTAGCTTAAAATCCCGCACCATCTATAACTCTTGATTATATGTCCGACATGCACGTAATATTCGAGAAAATTGTGTGTCAGTCAGCATCAATCCAATTTTGTAAATATATATTAGGAATCTTGAATTACAATAAAATTTGTTGAATTTACATATTTTCTTATTTATATAAGTTGACAGCTTCAATCTCTTCTGTTTCAAATTAAGAGTGAATGAATGAACTGAAACAATTGAATGAATAGAAGAGATGAATGAGTGAATGAAATATCGAATGAATGCATGCGCATATGAGTGAATGAAACAAATTTGGTGGGGGTGTCGTGGGGGTGGGGAAGATACAGCAGTAACTGGTTATTGGGATGCCTGTGGTAAAGCGGGTTCGCAGACGACGCATGCGTATTGTGGTTCTTTTTCACACGTGAAAACATGGCGTCGTTTAGAAGAGCTGCATTTGATGCTTCAAAATTCTTAAAACAGGTGAAGAAAATACATTTATGCTCCTTAAAAATTGCACACGTCAACGAGATTGAATAGGACTATCTTGATTGTTTTTGCAGGGGACCTCAATTGTGAGAAAATGCTCCAAAACAGTATTAAACGCTCAAGGTTTGTTATTGTAGTAACATATTTTTTCTTTGACATTTGGTTTTCTTTACGTTTTCAATTCATTTATCTGTTATTTATTCCTGCAGCTAGAACGTTAATGATACAGCAGTCAGCGTTATTAAAAAGATCCAGCGTAGAATTGGTTGTGTAAGTAGAAATAAATTAAGCTTATCATTTCAGTTGCATAATATTACTTGTCATATTATCTTGATGCCAACAGTGATTTTACTCAATATGTAGTGGATATTAAAAAAATAACCTTATTGATATCTTACATTGTATAGGGCAAAACAAGCTCAGAAGTTTTCTAGCATACCAAGAATAACATCAGCTTTATTATCAAGTAAGTCACTCTACATCCCTTCCCCTCTCTCCGTCCCCCCTCCCCTGTGCTCAAGTTTATCCCAGAAGAAAACTTTAACTTTTGACCCCAGGCTGGGAATCCATGTTTCCCCATTTCAGACCATGTGTCATTTTAAATTATGCATAATGTATTGTCTTAAGTGTTGCAGGTAAATAAAGGAATGATTTTCAAGGGAATAGAGTACTCAATTGATGACGTCACAAAAATTAATTTTTTTCTGGATCATATTTTTGGTTAACAATTTTGATAGACAATCACAAAAGACATTTACACACCAAATTTGACAAGAATATCAGTTGAGATGTGGTCATTTGAATATTATTATTACCCCATACAAATCTCTGTATTTTCAGCTTAGTTTAAAATGTTTTGAACTAAGCCGAAAATACAGTGATATGTATGGGGTAAATTTGGTGTGCAAATGTCTTTTTTGATTGTGTACAGAAATTAGAGATCAAAAATAATTAAAGCCAAAATTTATTTTTTCATGACATCACAGTCTTTAGTACTCTATAACTTGTAGTCTGTAATGGGAAAACATCATAGTCTATTTGTCTCTAGAATTCGTATAACACAAATCTTTGATTGATAATGACGTAGGATTTTTAATGTTGATTACAGCAATACCAGCAATAGACAATGGTGTAGTACAAAATGGTGAATCTGGTTCCAGCGAAGTCTTAGAAGGTTCTGGAAGTGATGAAGAAGGGCTAGTAACTCCGGCGCGGGAGCCACTGGATGATTTATGACAGTAATCTGCCTGTGAAAAAATCATTTGGATGAACTGTGGTACATGTCTATGTTATGGGTATTGATTATGTTAGTCTATTATTGAAATATATTTTATCTTGAAAAGTAGTTTTTAAGGAGTTCATTTAGTAGACCTCTTTACCTTAGGCATGTTTTTCCAATCTAGACCACGTGTCATTCCCTAGAGTATAATTTCTTTGTTTAACAGTTGCTCATGAGAAGACACATGAATATGGATACAACTCAAACAAAGAACTCATCCTCAAGGAAATGACACATGGCCTGAAATGGGAAAACATTATGTCCATGGTAAAAACCGGGACATTGGTAAAAAAGAAAGATTTCTTATCATTGTCACATTTCATGGTAAATGTTCATGTTTGCTATAGTTTTTAAACAATTTTTTTTTACCCTAAATATGAAATTTGTTTTAAAATTTGTCTGAAATCTATTGTGTTCCATCCAAATGTTTTTTCACTCTCAGGCAGACATGTTATATTGTACTTCTACTTGTTAAGCAGCATGTGTTCTAGAAATGTAGAGTGATTTCAACAATGCCGTAAAACAAAAATGTAATAGTCGAAAAAAGGTGAAAACCATTCTTTGTTGACTTGATCAATCATTGCTGTATTTGTTTGTGGTGTTTGTTTTAAGAAAGTAATTCTAAAAGTTTACTGTGATAACTAATATTGATGTCTGTGAAATTGTTAGTGGTCTTTTAGGTTTTTATTGTTAATAATAATTAAACATTTGTTTATGAATTAAGTTTTACTTCAAGGAACAAGGGAGTAGATTTGAAGAGTTTATACTTTATCTTACTTTTAAATTTGGCATGTGTACACAGGGGATGAAAATTCGCTGTCAAAATGCTACTATTAAACCTCTAATAGAGGCTTTGCAACATCACGTGATGGCAGCCATGACAGGAGGCACAACAATAGAGCATTTTTCCCCTGAGAAAGTGAATTCTTTCTCATGCGAATCAGACTAGACCAGATTCAATTGTTTCTGCCTTCTGTCATGGCTGCCATCACGTGATGGTGCAAAGCCTCTATTATTATTATGATTATATTAATAATAAACAAATATGATCATTACTGCAAGGTCATTTTAGAATCTATTTTTATTACAAAATAAGTGCAGTAGTTTGTTATACTCATTCACTTCTCTATTGATGGTTTTCAAGGCGGCCATGTTGGAGGAACTTAAAAGAATTGTCAATGAATTCTTTTGTTATATCCTCCAACATGGCCGCCTAGTCTTCTGTTATTTACTTCTCTTGGGAATGGTTGAAAACCATCAATTTACATATATCATTATTATCTTCTCATTAGTTCATTTTGGAGAGGATTTTATTCTTTGCACTCTTGGGATAGATTCTACCTCTAAACCTTTGTTTGAAAAAAACTGCTTAAAATACTGCTTCCAGGAGAGGTTTTCTGTCTGTCTTTCTGTATACGTGTTTGTTTTTAGAAGAAATACCTCTGTATGTCTCRAAGAACTATTTACCCCAGCCCAGTACACCTGTCTATTTTTCTGTGTTTCATTTTAAAAAATTGTCCCAAAAAACCTTTTATTCATGAATCATTTTTAACTTCTGATTAGTCAATCCTATATGGTTGAAAAACTAGATGCATAGTTTTGGAGAATTTTGCCATTCCTTTGTTTTTACCTTTTCCATTCCATTTCATTCCACTCTTAGTCATGGAGTCACCTGGGGTGAGACGGATTAACAAATGCTCAGCTAAATGTATACTTTAAATGTACTCAAGTACTAAGGGAAAAGAAGATGCACAAAGCATGCACAATATGGTTTCCCCCTTATTGAATCAACATTTTTTCATACACCAATATCCATACAAAATAATGTAATTATAATCAAATTGATGATACATAAATATATTGCTAATAATCAGTTGGATATCTTAATAATATACAATAAAATTCATTACAACACTGCAGCTCTTACAACCTAAATTTCCAGTTATCAGTTACAATATCTTAGTACAGCTTAGTCTAAAATCGTTTGAAGATTAAAATTCTGATTTTCTTAAGTTAAATGTATTCAATTGAATAATTGGTATTGTGATTGTTAAGATTGACATTAATGATATTAGAAGCAGGGTATATTGGCACTCAGCATGACGTCAACTTTTCTTGGCAGTATTTTTCGATTACATCAATTCTTGGCCAAATTGTTTAAATTTGAACCTCTAATTAACAATCGATTAAATGTTATCCGATTCGGAAATAGTAAATATGATGCATTGTAGTCTAACTTCATCATAAACTAGCTATTCACCATGGTTTATTATGTGTTGCTTGGATGTACGCAAGCTAGACCAGAATGTAGCCTGTTTATATCAAATTTAAACAAGGCCTAAGCTTTGTATGTGTCTGACCAAAGAATTGATTATGGAAAACAGTTACAGTGTGTTGCGTAAAAGTATGACTACGTTTAATGTATTTGCATATTTCTATACTCTCCATGCCTTATTTGTTAAAACCAGCCAGCTTTGCATCAAAATCTGTAAGTTTAACTTAAAAAATCCTGTGAATAGAAGACCCTGTGAATAAATTAAAATGTAGTCATACTTTTGTAGATTGTGCTGTAATACATTGCATTAATAATAAAAATTATTGCTTTACTTGAAAAGAATCTGAAAATAAATGTTGCTGTGAATGCTGACATACATCAAATGGATTGCACTGTGAATCAAAATCCACTCAATCCAATCACAGTGCACAGAAGCCATTTAAAAGCTATATCATAGTATCTCCCATTCATATAAAACCTTTCTCTCGCAATGCACATAAAGATTTTTAAGATCAATTCACATGGCCTGATCTTTCTTCACAATATCATGCGCTGATGACACCAATAGCTTCATGTAAATCGACCATACAACATCCAACTTGTTTACGGCAGCTGAAACCTGGCAAAAGCATGTTATGTGCAATAGTTGTGAGGAAAGATTGTTTCATGCAAATTGGAAGACTCCTAAGCAGCCGTTATTAGTGACATCCCGCAAACTCACTCCCCTAAGTAGTGTTGTGTGACAACACTAATAGCGGCTTTGTAGGAGACTAGCAAATCGGTCTTTAGAAAGAAAGATTTCATGATATGGGATCCTTATTTGTACTTATAAAGTTTTCCATAATTGTCTGCTATATGCCAAAGCAATTTCCCCCCATGATCTAGGGATTATACGATAGAATACTTCTGTTGAAATGAACATATACTTTTAGGCTTATTTCAAGCATTGTGTAATACATTACTATCATGTAGGTGTCCATATATCTATCATGGTATCTAGTCCCCGTAGATAACCATCCTCATGGTTACCCTCCTTCCATTCTGATCTATGATCTATGGTATACCCTTCGGGTAATGGAACAGTCTTCCCGAAATCAATCATCCAGACACTTGCACGGCCCTTGGAGTCATGAACAAACAATAAGGAGCTTCCAATGACCTGTAAATAGTGACACCGTTGTTAGAAATCTTATATTTTCTAAATGATTCTGAATCAATGTAATGGGCCATTTGCATAATGGTATAATTTTACTCTAGTACTACGAACAAGATTCCTTGCTTTTGTATTCAAATTGTATTTCCTCCTGAGAATAGTAAGACAATTGGTGCTAATTTACTGAATGAAAGAAAGAAAAAAAAAACAGAAAAAAACAACACTGAAAAAAAACACCGGCTGCTGTATGAAAGAAAGAAAAAAAAAAAAACAGAAAAAAACAACAACCAAATGCATTTCAAGTCAACTGCTTTCAATTTTTACTTCAACTGAATGATTGAAATCTGTACTATACTACTCAAAATAAGATCCCCGAGTAACACCCCGCCCCACCCTCACCCCTTCTCTCCAAGGAATCTGTACTGAGTATGACACCGTTTGAGTCTCCTGGTTGGTCACAGTCCCTTAAAATAAAATCTATCCTTTTACCAAAATTATTAATCTTTACCTCATGAGACTTTAAAAATTTAGAAGCTTCAAGCGTCGCTCTGATAGCCTTGAGTCGTTTGAGGTATTTTGTCTAAAAAAATATACATAAGGCAGAATATTAATAAATAAGATAATCTGCATTACCAGTATTTATAAAATAACTGTTATGAATGTTGCGTTCTGATTGGTTTGGAGCGTGTGCTTTATGAGAGCACATTGCATGCGCGCACACTTTCCGTTGCGTCATTCCTATCTATTATTGTAATTTATATTTTATAAAAGAAATAAAAAAAACTTGCTTGCTGTGCTGTGTGCAGTCATAAAGCACTTGGGGGTTGGCAGAACACTCGAGAAGTGTCCAGAAGCACTCTGCTACGTGTCGTGCTTCTCCTAACACTTCTCTCGTGTTCTGCCAACCCCCGTGTGCTTTATGACAGCACACAGCACGCGCGAGCGTTTTCTATTTCTTCAATATATTATTAAGATTAGTGTAATTACATAATCTGTATTGTTATTAATATTATAGATAAAAATATACAGTATTAAGATAACAATTTAAATCAAATATTAAAAAACACTGGCTGCTGTACTTTTTCTTTTATGTTAAGAATATTTTTATCTTCACAGGAATTAATCGATTCCCTTAGTTTCATCTTTTTAAACTTATTTACCAATAAAGCTTTTTAGATGCTGAAATGTCAATAAAACAGGTCGGATTTAGAAGAAAAAGCTGAAAAAGACACTTGTTTACTGTTTTTTGTCTTTATTTGATTATTTCCTACTTACTCTTATTTGTGGGTCATTTTCAATATACTCTGTAAAAACCTTTGCCACATCATCTGCTGTTTTGGTTTTCTTGAAATCTTTGTTTGGTTTCTGATCACCTTTCTACAAATAAACCACAAGCTTTAGGAGTCAGCAAAGTGAAAGAATTCAAAATACCCAAGCAGACATGATTCACCTTTATCCCTTCAATTCTGAATCCCAATGTAGCAGATGAGCTGAGTCGTTCTCTCCACTGCATGTAACGGGGTTTGGTTATAGCTTTGTTCTTATTTTCAGTTTCTGTTGGTTCGTTTGGATCAACTTCTACCATCTTTTGGTACAAGTCCTAAATAACAAAAAATTCTAAGCATTAGTGTTTGTGCATTTGTTAGAAAATATCTACACTTTTTTGCACAATAAGCTCTGCAATTACTACTCTTTTGGGCATTTTCCTGAAGATAATAACTTAGGGGAGAGGGGTAGGGATGATTTGGCAACTATAGTAGTTAATTTTCAAAGTTAATAAATATTTAAGTATAATTACTGAATCATTACTGCTATTTATATCATGAACAGTTTTAAGTAATTATTATGAGTATATTGTAAGCTGATCATTCATTGAAAGTATTTATAAATTATTGTTTGTGTTGCATATTAATTTTATTTTTTACCTTTCGAGCTTTAGATTTTGACTTTGCAAGGTCTTCTTCCAAGTATGTTCTAGAAAATGACCATATCATAATCAGTTAGCTAGGGACTCAATAATTATGAAGAGGAGATTGAACCCTGAAACAACCTCTGGGCTGATCTAAGTCAGGGCATGGCTAACTCACAGATAGAACCCTGAAACAACCTCTGAGCTGATCTAAGTCAGGGCATAGCTAACTCACAGATAAAACCCTGAAACAACCTCTGGGCTGATCTAAGTCAGGGCATGGCTAACTCACAGATAAAACCCTGAAACAACCTCTGAGCTGATCTAAGTCAGGGCATAGCTAACTCGCAGATAAAACCCTGAAACAACCTCTGGGCTGATCTAAGTCAGGGCATGGCTAACTCACAGATTGAACCCTGAAACAACTTCTAGGCTGATCAAAGTCAGGGCACGGCTAACTCACAGATCAAACCCTGAAACATCCTCTGGGCTGATCTAAGTCAGGGCATGGCTAACTCACAGATCAAACCCTGAAACATCCTCTGGGCTGATCTAAGTCAGGGCATGGCTAACTCACAGATAAAACCCTGAAACAACTTCTAGGCTGATCAAAGTCAGGGCACGGCTAA